AAAATTACAAAATAAATATGCTTATTTACATATTTCTAATCAAATGCCTTGGCCAAAAAATGAGGGTCAAATGTCAATATATAGATATACCGTAGAACCCATTGCTTATTTGGACTGGGCCACAACCTTACAAGGCTAAAATTTAAACTTTTACATTTCCCAGTAACCATGGGCCTATCGCAAATGTTTTATCCGAATTTTTGCCAGGGCCCAAAGCCCAATCTATTCCAGATTCCTCTTAGGCCTTCTGCCCGTGTGCTCCTATTTCTTCTTCTCCGATGGCCACCATCTGAAAATCCCCACTTTCTCCATTAATTCCTCTATTATCAACAAAATCGCATAGAAAATGTCACTGTCCCTGCAATTTTCGCTCTCATCTTCAGTCGATAGGGCGGCTCTTCAGCGTGCCTCCTTCCAATCGACGACGTCTCGTCGGAGACACCAACGCGTCTCTCTCCATTCCAAGACCAGATCCCTCACTATCACCCGAAATTTCACGAGAAACCGATTCCTTACCGTCAAGGCTATTGAAAAAAGCAAAGAAGGCACCGAAACGGAGACGGCAGAGGAACAGGAACCGGTAGCGGCGGATGGTGTAAGCGATTCGAAGGTCGAGTTGAGTGAGTTGGGGGCGGAGATAAAGAAGGCGTTGCAGGAAAGGAAGGAGGAGGCGGAAGGGAACATTTTGAGCGGAGTGGCGGAGGAGATAAGGGAGATCGAGTGGCCGGTATTTGGTAAGGTTCTGGGAACCACCGGCGTCGTGCTCGGTGTTATTGCTGGATCGAGTGTCGTTTTGCTTACTGTCAATGCCGTTTTGGCCGAGCTCTCTGATCGGGTTTTCTCTGGCATAGGTATTGAAGATTTCTTTAGTTGAGCTGCTGATGACCAATGGGAAACTGGCACCTTGCTATCCAAAATATCATAGGCTGGACCTTAATTTTGCAGTTTGCCTAATTTCTCCGAAAATGTTTGGTTACACAACATTATTAAGAAAATGTTTGGTTACATAGCTCTTTTGAAGGCATATTTATATTTTGTTGCATTGAATTTGATTTGTTCAAAATTAACATGTAAACAAATACATGGGTACCGTATAATAATAATAATTTTTCTTAAGCCATCATATCAAGTGAGTTTATTAATTTCATTGAGAATAACTCTTTTGAAGGCGAATTTC